AGAGTCCAAATCACTGTCCAGAACTGGGCCTTCAATATCAGAGAGGGGATCCTTTGAACTTTGTCTTTCAACTTGGGTAACACCATCTTGAATCAGAATATCCAAGTTCAAGTTCATTTCTGAGAGCTTCTTGAGAGTTGAACTTGGTGTTAACTGACCACAAACTGCACATCCAGACTCCTCAAATTGATTTGGATCTATATCTTCACAGAAATCTGTAAATATCTGATGCAGTAATTTTTGGGAAGGAGCTGAAGGAGGAAATTCTGGGTTTAAGCTTTTATTTTGATATTTCTTTACTGCTTCCAAGTTTAAAACTTTACATTTTTCTTCATTTTTTTCTTGGTGTTTTTTGACTGCCTCCAAGTGGCTGGCCTTGTATTTCTCTGGGCTTTTTTCCTGGTATTTTTTAACTGCATCCAAGTTGCTGGCCTTATATTTCTCTGGGCTTTTCTCTTGGTGTTTTTTAACTGCCTCCAAGTGGCTGGCCTTATATTTCTCTGGACTTTTTTCTTGGTATTTTTTTGACTTATTTAAATTAATAGCTTTCTTTTTTTCTGTCTTGTCTTTCTCATCTATAAATTCAAATATTTCTACATATTCTTTACATGATTTACACTTGTGACTTTCAATAATGCTCTGAATTTCTAAGCTTTTTGACTTGGAATGAAGTTTGATGTTATGGCATTGAGCAATAAATTTTAAGTTAGGAATGCTCAAGTGGGAAATGAGCTCTGTAAGGNGCATCTTACAAAGTAAAGTTGGACTTTTGATACTCTTCAATGTATGGACTTCAGATTCAGGTACATAGTCTGAATATTTATACATCCCTCCTGTATTCACCTCATTTATAGCAAATGAAGAAAGCTTCTCAGCTGAGAATATACCTGCAGGGCCACCCCCCAGTATTTCACTTTTAGTTACCAAGTCATTATGTGGATTGAAACTTTGTGTTGGTTTAAACCCTGGAAGCTCCAGCTCCAAAAAGAATACTACAGATAAAGCAAATATCATGATACACAAATTTTTTGTGATTTTTGTTGAGAACTTGAAATACTGCAAAGCTGAGACATGGTGGAATATTATCAAATACACAATGTAATTTGCAAAGTTTAAAATAGTAGAGCATCCACCAATTCTTTTCATAAGAGTAGCAAAGTCATGAGATCTCAATATATTTCTTTTCAATTTCAAATCAAGTTCCTGGCATTTTACTGCAACCAGATCTCTTTGAGAAATGATGGTAAACAATCTGAGAAGAGTCAAAAAAGCTCTAACATATAATTCCAAGAGTGGAGAACATCTTAGATGCAACCACAACTTATGAAGTTTTAAATCTAAATATTCAGAAAATGTGTAGTCACTTTTACATAGCTCAGGGCTAAGTTCAACACAAGTAGAAAAGCCATCATTTTTCAAAATCAAAGTTTCTGACCATGAGCTTTGTGCATTCCAGTGTAAGGGTGATACTCCTGATGTATGCCTATATATATCATCATATCTCATATTTGGGTAAGCTATGTCTGTTCCCTCAACCATAAATGGAAGAGCATATTTATTGTGCCTTTTTCTCTCAACCATAAATGGAAGAGCATATTTATTGTGCCTCTCAACCATAAATGGAAGAGTATTGAATGCCAAAAGGCCATGCCTCTCAACCATAAATGGAAGAGTATAGAGTGCCAAAAGGCCTTGCCTCTCAACCACAAATGGATGAGTATATAATTTATGTATTTTTCTCTCAACCATGTTGAATGGAAGAGGCTCAACCAAATGGTTGGCTGCCAAAGGGCTCGGATTGAGATCAATCACTATAGAGGGTGCCCAAGGGCTAGGGTTGTAATCAACCTCACTGGAATCAAGGTAGTTGCCAAAACTTCCTTGATCCCAGTGTAAAAGATCTAGAAGATTGCTCAGTCCTGAGTTACATATGATCAAGCTAAGGTCTTACCATAGTTTAAGGAAGAGGTGGCATAGAAATCCATAGGATTTAACTGGCAGAAAGCCAATGATGTGTTTTCTGGGTTAAATATATTAAATTTGAGAATATGCACTAAAAAGGGCAAGTTACATACCTTCTGGGCTCAGAATAGCCAGAGAACAGGGAGTTTGTTGATCTAGAATATAGAAAGATTAGCAGAGTACCTACAGAAATATAGAAATAGGCTTACATGGCCCAAAATGACCAGTTCAGAGCTAACACCAGTATTCCCAGATCTGAGCATGTTCCAGGTGTTGGAAGAGAATACAGAGGGCATAGAAGTGTAGCAGAGAAGGCCTAGAAGCCATAGCAAAAAGAATTGTAGCAGTAGCATGAGTGGTTGACTCAGAATGGAGTGAACAAGGTGCCAGCAAAGCAAGATGATGGTGGTTCAAGTTCAAAAGGGAAAGTTTACTATTATTTACCAGAAGCTTTGAAGTACCCAGGAAGTTTAGGGCATGTCCACATTCCTTATTTGGGAACTTTTTCCCACAGTACATGAATTATAGCCCCATGTCATACATTTCTAAATGTACTGAAATCATATGACCAGGATGATTTCTTATTGAGAAAAATATATAAAAACATGAATAAATAGGTGTCTTTGCATATATCTCAGGAAAGAAAATAGCTAGTCACATTTTGTGACCACATTGAGAAATATAACAGCATGCTCTATAAAACTGTCCCTAATTTCCTTTTCAGGTCAATTTTCCCACGGTACCAGAAACACTGCCTCTCACTTAGCTTTATTAACAAGAATTGTAGCCCCTTTGCTTAGCTTTACAAATATATATAAATAATGTCACACAGATCATTCCTTATTGAGAAAAACACAAAATACTGAAAAAATTGGACACTTTTTGAAAATAGTCATGTATTTTGACCAATATCTGCATAAGAAAGAAGGCTAGTCAGATGATATAATCACATTTCTGATATTTAATGTTGCTACACTATTGGAGAGGCTGTATTCAGGGTCCAGGATACACTTCCAAATATGGGAATCTGCCCAAATATAGCTAAATTATTGTGTACAAGTTTCTTCACTTTCCAGCTGTTTTCTCTGAGTTGTTTTCTTTTCTGTCTATATTTAGATATGGACCCTGAACACAGCCCCTTCAATATCATGACAACAGCAAATATCATTCCGATTTTTCTTCCCTTTTTTGGCATATTTTGTAATCATGTTATACAATCTATCTGGCTTTGTTCTATTTTTAGAGATGGACCCTGAACCCTGAACACAGCCCATTCATGATCATGGCAATGGTGAATACCATGCTTATTTTTCACTTATTTTGCACTGCTTCTCAACCTATCTGTTTCCATTTTTCAGACAGCTTTCTATATTTGGATATGGACCCTGAACCCTGAACACAGCCTCTCCAACTTACTAAGCAATATTCTGATTTTCTACACATTTTTGGCCAATTTATTTGCCATTTTTCCTGATTTTATGGCTGCTTCTCTCCTTAAGAGAAAAGGTTCCCGCGGTGATGAAAGGTAAATCAATGAATCAATGAAAAATTTGTCTAAGTCCTCAGTTGATAAAGAATGAGTCTTACTCGTAAACTCGTAAGGACTCATAATTTTTTAATCAAGTTACGGTATTCATGTTTCAGCATGCAATGCTGTTGAAATCGACACCATAAGGCCACACACAACCGAGAAGGTGTATCGTTTGAACACAGATAGGCAAGTATACAGGTGTGTAAGATATATGGTATTGTGAGATGCACATATTCAAGCAGAGCATTCAGTATCATCCAACATATAGAGGGAAATGATGGTAAGGCATTGGATAGATTTGTGATTCTAATCTTCGTGATATTGGTAAATTGAACTTGTATCTCATTCCATCCTTGCGATCGAAGGTATGTGTAAAGCGTATGTGCTCTATTCAATCCCTGCAAAATGTATCTGTACTTTCTGTGTGTCTCATTCAATCCTTGCAATTGAATGTACGTGTACTTTATCTGTGCCTCATTCAATCCTTGCAATTGAATGTATGTGTCATTGACATGTGCCGTATCATGACTACGATTATGGTAGTCTGGTGCCAATAGGCCATGCCTCTCAACCAAGGTAGCTGGTCGAGTATCAAGTGCCAAAAGGCCGTGCCTCTCAACCAACGCAGCTGGTTGGGCAAAAAATGCCAAAAGGCTCAGATTGTTTCCAATCTCTATATATGGTTTGAAGTGATGACAGGAGTCATCAAGCAAATGATGTGCGTTGAAAATCAGGGATATGCCGATGAGGATAAGAAGCATAATGAAGAAAGCAATGGCTCGTGTA